GGGCTTTTCAAAGCAAATATTATACAACAGAAGAGAAGTGGTCCAAAAATGTATAGGTTGTCATTCTATATAGAAACGTATAAATATCGTGTTACGTCGCTTTTTTAGTAAAGATATACTCACATCTGTATCTGTGTTTCGGGGAAGCCCGAATTTGTATTCTGACCAGACTGGGGCTCTTATTCAAGAAGTGTAATGTCTTACCGCACCGGTGTCAGGCGTCACGTACATGATGCCGAGTCTAAAACTAGTCCGCAAAACAGTTATTTTAATAAATATAAATACGACTCACGAAAGCTTCTATTCTAATCAAATGTCATAATAAAATATGCATTACATGTGTAGTATGTTATATTATGATATTGTAAAATAATATACATAATATCCGTCGATATAATGGATTAACTTTGAGAACCCTGACTTCCTGGCATTTACCGTTGCGAGTTGCAGATACGCGACCTTGACCTCTATGGCTTATATAACGGTTTCGTCCATATTACTTAACAAAATAGTTTCACCTCCATTGCTTTCTGATATTGCCTAGTTTTTCCTTCAAAATGCGTATTACATACGCCCATGTTCCCGAAGGAGAACACCCACATTTTGCCGAATATAATTTCATTTCCACTTGCAAAGTAGTCAAACCTATTACTGTCTACCGAGCGCATTAAATGGGAAAAGAAGCGTATCGAAAGTAAACAGAGATAAAAAGAGCAGGCACAAGTTACATACCTGTAACTTGAATTAGATATGGCCGAAAATTTAGAGCCCTCTCACCATTTGCTTTTAATCTTCCTATTTAATTTTAAAGAGTGGCAAAGTAGAACTTAATTATTACAATTGGCAAAATGTGGACGGTTAATACGCCTTGGCACATCCCAGTATTAGTTTATGACATAATGATCCAACTGGCATGACTATAACATAATGGTCCGTGTAGTGATGGATTAAGAATACGGATTGTCACCACCCCTATTCATACCGTGGGTGTCGTAAGAGACGACTAAGGGAGCAAACTCTGCAGGACAGCACTGTCACACTATTTTTGCCTAACAACCCCTTAATATTAAATCTGATAGTGTTCCGCTTAGGTACGGTATTTTGTTAGGTTTAAAGGTTTACATGTATGTAGGTAAATCTATTCCAAATTGTATAGTTGTTTTGCAATTGTCGTCTCTTTCTGCCATGCTAGTTGTGACATCAAAATTGGGCCAGATGTCACCAATCTGTTGAGGTTTATTTTCTTACCGCTTTATTATCAGTCCGATCAGAAACTAGAAGAAAAAATTATGCACTCATAATTATGTTAAATAGGTATATTTATTTAAGACTGGCTACCCAAATCAACTAAACTGATAATATTTATAGATGTAGATTGAGGCAATGATTTACTGATACCTAAATAAAATGATCTTATGTTAGAATAAGAATATTATTATTCGTTGATCAGACAGTTCAAACAGACAGTCAATCAAGTAATCAGCGACGAAACAAATGCGTTAAACTTGAAAGGCTCTTAAGAACTTTGGATTGCCCTTGTTTGATCATATGTTTCGAAGTAAACACGAAGTGATGCTTAATTGATAGTGTTAACAGTTGTTATTTGCACCTGTTACAACAAAGGTTTTTGAAGATTAATATACGGATGATATTGTTCAAATGTCTATTGTTTTGTGTTGACGGCTGTTTATTATATTTATCATCGTGACCATAAACAGAAACATCTATTATGATCCACCGGCCTTTGTTTTATTCACGATACAGTTAATAGAACTAGAGATTGCGTACTATAAACCGTCATAGGATGTTATACTCTTCGATGGTAAGATAGTTAAGGCAATAAAAAAACGGCAGATAAAAAAATATATGTTATAGTTTATAGTATTTTATTGTAATATTGTTGTTAATTTAATTATTAATAAAATGGCGTATTAAGAAAACGCTTTTAACGACAAGCCTCCCATTTGTAAAAATTGTTGGTGTACACCAAAGTTAGTCTGTCACTGTCCGTGTGGTGACGGATTAAGAATACGAAGTGTCACCGCCCCTGTTCATCAAGTGAGTGTCGTAAGGGCCGACTAAGGCAGCAAATTATGCAGGACAACAGCACCCTATACCAACCCAGGCCAGCGTGGTATAGTAGGCCAAAACCTCCTTTCTAAGGAGAGGCCTATGTCTAGCATGGGGCTATTACAGACTGTTGATGATGACACTAAAGTTTGCTCTATTCTAATATACATTTACATAAATTGTAGAAATTCTGCATTAGCTGCCTATAAGAATTAAGTAACTCTCTTGAAATTAGCCGATCACATCAGAAAAGATTTTAAAGTATTGGTTTTGTTAGTTTTTTTTAATACAAAACGGGCAGCAAGATAAATTAATCTTAAGATACCTACAGACATGAAACTAACTAAATGTCAAATACTGAAAATAGCCTTAACCTTGATTCCACATAATGTAATTAGGTATATAGACTTCGGCAATAGTCTACTCCTACGTCTAAGGCATACGCAGGCAACAAAAATACACGTCTAAATAGTTTTTTTGTGCATAAAGTAGGTACATAATATATCATTTTTGGTAGTAGTAAAAAAGTATAACTTTTAACAGAACATTAGAAGTATTGTCAATTGTGCAGTCGGTGGCCATTATTCCGTTGAGTGGCGCGACGGCGCTAAAAATAATATCCTTTGTGTGGGTTGGTTCAACTGGTTGTTTCCGATCTTGCAATCATGAATTGCATTACGGGATGAACAATAACTATAATATGAGAAAAATTAAGTAGTTGCACGACGTTTTAACTAATCATAATTATGTTTGGAAAGCAGTCTCCGAATTAGAAATCATCACGATTGCCTCATAAAAATAATAAAATTATATTGCAACGTAAATCGCACACAATCTATAAGTTACCCAGAATCATGGTTAAGTTGGGCTCCGGTTACTTCACTCACTGAAAAACAATAATCAAAAGAATTGCTTGTCAGCAATTTTCTTTGAGGCCGCTGTATCACGCTGGTCGAGCCGGCCCAAGTACTCGTATACTTGTAGCATGGCTCCCCAACAAAATACATTTTCCCCAAATTCAGTTCCTAGTGTTAGCGCTTTTAATTCTTTAAAATTATTTATAACCGACTTAAAAAGGAGTAGGTTATCAATTCGGATGTTTATATATTTTTTATGTATGATAACTGTTCATTTTTGCAAAATTATTTTTTGCTCGACGGGGGTTCATGCCGAAATGGCCCTTTTTTAAATAATGAGTGTCGGAGACACAACGGAACTCTTCAAAAAATGACAGCAAATCAGCCGCGATTTGCTGCTAGGTTTTTAGTGCTCTTTGTTAGTATTGTTTGAGGTCGGTACAATTTCTTTTTAAAAAGATTTTACTTGTTTCATATCTTAATTTGCTTACACTTTTTTTGCCTCGAATATTGCGATTGGGCTACTTTAATTGTTCCTTTAACTTATGTGTACAATATCATGACATTCAAGCTTCAAGGCTACCTTAAAAAGAATCGTTACCGGACAGAAACAAGACGTGAGAAATAGCCCATTGCATTTGGGTCAAGTTGTGTTCATATAGATTGGTATGTATGAATCTTACTGGTACATGCTAGTCTACACATAACGCATGCGTATCATCATATCCATAATATTTTATTACATATAAACTCTAAATTTTTCGGAATCTAGCTTTTTGCTACTAACAAATTCCTAAACAGATGGTGCCATGAGATTGCCATTAATATCAGTTCTTTCTCAGAAACAATTTTATAAAATGTATCTAAATACAATTTAATGAAGTGATATTTTAAACTCTAATGATATTGTTATTAGTCGCGGTTCGTGATTAGATCAAGATAACAAATTCTACAAGTTTATAGCGATTAATTTCAGTAATACACAAAATTTATTTAAATTTATTGCAATAAACACAAAAATCCGGCAAGTTTCAATGATATTCTTTTGTACTATTCGGCATATTTTGCACGTGTTTACTTCTCCAATTGGAACTAACTAGAATTTGTCTACTGGGTGGCGGCTTCCTTTTAGGGTACGACCTTATCCCATAACAAGTTCCAGAAGGTTTGTGAACATCTGGAAAAAAATCGTGAAAACCAGACATTCGACACCCTGCATTCCTGGGGCTAATTGCGCATGTATACAGTTCTCTGTACCTACTAAAATTAAGCATAAAATCGTTTGATAATGAAATTGTATTGGTTTCCTCTAAATTTAATGAAATTGTATAAATATAATATATAACAATGTTTCAATTGTCATATCTTGTTCTCGCGTTATTCTTGACATTTGGATTTTAAATCAATTTTAGTGGATAATACAAAAAGCACTGGTTCTGTTTTAATTTTATGCTGATCTAAAGAGAAGTAACCTGGCCAGTTGCCAGTATCCTTTTGCACATACAAGTTTTCGGCCCGCGTCATTTCCGAATTCTGGAGATTTTCATTTCAGTGACTTATAAATTATTTTTGCTATAAATAAACGAAGAGTTTTCTAAATATTGGAGTTAATAAAAATAACGATTTGCGACCAAAGCTGTTATTTTTACCTTCTAGGTGAGCAATACCGCCGTTATATACTGTCACCACAGCTGATTTACATGAATTAGGTAGTATTCTGTTTTAAAAGTAAATTTGGCTATGTTTAACATGGAATCTGTAACCACTAATTCTTGTGCCTCACTTTGAAGTATGATTTAATAATAATAGAAGAAAAAAGAAAAAGAATTAATGGCAAACCGTATTATAAAGTAATAATCATCCTTCCTGGCTTTATAGCAAGCCTTGGGCTCTTCAAAACGAATTAACATCCAAGCTACTAGTCCGTACCATTTTATTTTGTTAATTAGAAGTCCAAAGAAGAGAGATTAACATCCAAGATTTGTTTATACATTTAGTTACTTAAAAGTTAAGTTAAAAAAACGTGTTAAAAAACAAATAGACACATCTAACTATTGTTGTCTCTCTTTCCAGATTCGGAAAAGACCTTGAAGACGGTTTTGTGCGCCACCGGCCGCAAGCTCGTCTACGACAATCGGCTTCCATGACGGCTTCGACGTCATACAACGAGGTGATACCGCCTCCGCTGCCTCCTCCACCCGCGGCTTTGACTCAAGGGCGTCGAGTTGACACGTCGTTGAAACGTCTGGAGAGAGCACACGATGATCTATTCCAGTTGTAGCGGCCGAGACAGCGCAGGTGAGGCTATGGAAACTATGCGTTTAATGGTTATTTAAGACTTCCATTTTTTTCTGCCAAAACTCTGAAATATGGAAAATATACAAGCAGGTTTTAGGGGCATAGATTGCGTTTGTCACAACCAGAGTGTTATTTGTGGAAGATTCTGTCAGAGTTTAGGTTGGGAAATTGACTCATACATGCACTGACATAAATGTGCATACTCTAAGGCGATTTTAGTGCATATGTCACTGTGTAAACATAGTGGACAATATCTCGGGAGCTCTGTGTACAAATTAAATTAGTTATTTGGTAAGGTTCTTCAATAGAGTTGGAAAGAAATCGATTGGAACTTTTGTCATATACGTTAAAATCAACGAATTTCAATGAATGATCGAAATCAATAAGAACCTTTTCGGACCTAGTTACAATTAATGTTCTCGGCAAATGTCCTAGGTAGCTGTTGAAAGGAATACAAAGCCACTTTTTAATCTGTCTACTCATGTGGAAATATACCTCATACTCGTATATGGACGTAATTAAATGTGATAAGCATTCCTCGTGAATTAATCATTGCTGTTTACTGTCTTGGACACTCATGGGTTCCTACGGAATTATACTCAGATACACTTATCTTAAAATTAAATATTTAATAATAATTGTCTATCAAGTGTATTATTAATTTAATAGACTTGGCGTTAGGGCTATTGTGCTTTGTTTATCAGGGTTTCCAGTCACCACCGGAAAGTAATTATCGAAAAAGTTTTACTACGTCAAGAATATAAAATAGACTCTTTTTCAAACCTTCTTAAGCTACAAATGTATTAATATATCTAACTTTTGTAATGTCGATCTAATTAATCAACTTGCAGGGATAAAAAGTAGCCCTAGTGATATTCCCGACCATTATCTTTCTCTGTGCCTAATTTTATCCAGATCCGTTCAGCCATTCTGACGTGATTGAGTTACAAACATCTATCCGTCCAAACTTTCGGATTTATAATATTACTAACTTTGGCCCTCGGTTCCACCCGACTGTATGTCGGTTATCGCGGTAAAAAGTAGCCTATGTTACTCGCTGATAATGTAGCTTTATAATAATTCTTGGTGGTCTTAGCAAAATTGGTGTAGTGGTTTAGGCGTGAAAACGTAACAAACAAACGTACAAACTCATTTTCACATTATGTATATTATGTAATATGGAAGTAAGATTAAATAGATATCGAATACGGTTATGCTCTAGTGGATTCGTCTTATCGAAATCCGATTAGAGGTAAAGGAGGTGATTCAACTAGGAAAATCTTTAATCTTTTTTCTACCCCATTTGTTACTTAGTAATAGATTATCCTACTCAAAATATTTTTTTTTCAATTATGAGAGAAATATTTTGTTTTGAATTAATTATAACAAAATCTCTTAAAAATACCAAGCTTTCAGATTAACTATTTTATTTACATTGATTTAGAAATGTAGTTTAGGTCTTGATTGTGTTTTAGATATTAAAATAAAGCGCGCATCGCATTTGCTATTTCATTATAGTTCAATGTGAAACCTTTGTTTTTTTTTTACTTCTGAATGGCACGGATAAGCAAATTCAAATCGACATATTGTTCTTTTAGTCCTGTGAGTCTGTTCTCTGTTAAATGTATATATGTATAGCTCAATAGTTCAAGGTGATCTAAATAAATGCTGATTCACACAAAATACCATTATTATTAACGAATTTCTTTCACCCAATCAATTTTACTTCTAGTTTGTGTTATGTCTGAGCCTAAACTGCTGAACGGTTGACGTCACTCGTGTGGTAACTGTTATGTTATTTATGTAAGCCCACATTCATATTTTTATAGTTTAGAGCTTCGTTGCGGATATGAAGTCATGTGATGTTGATGTGAGCCTGCGTCGATGTAAATCTGATTCATATATTTGAATTACAGAGTGTTTTTCACTCTTTGGTTTACCTGTTATTCACAGTTCCGAGACATGTAGGGTATTCGTTGGATCTCCATTCCGTTAATCTATTTAGGCATTTGTTTGTCAAAAAATGTAGCTTACAATTGAGATTCGAATACCGGCTTTTAAATTTTAGGTTTTCATCCTTGGTTTCATCTCGACCAGCAACTCAACTAAATGGCTATTTCAACAGTTAATTCATGGTACTTTCCATATGATTAATTATCCGTTTTCCGATAGTTTATGCGTCTAGAAATACTCGTATTTGTTTCGGAGTTTGGGTATTCTATCAGTCAATCAAGTTTTCATAGTACAAGGTCTTAGTTTGAAACTAGATGGCGTTGTGTGCCAGATGTCCGAAATGTTATTATATTATAATACCCAAACAAGTACATTCATACCGGTTGCTACCTCGCTTTGGAACCCTCATGTGCGCCAGGACATGATCTATTGAAATAATTGGAAAATTACGAGCCTGTGTAAAGTCAATATATTGGATATATAAATCCAGACTTTGTTGAAATTATAAGCACTAATTATTATTTGTACTAATTCTTGACGCGAATTTGCAAATTGCCCTCTTTGCTTTGTGTAATCTTATGCGATAGGTACAAACAAGTTTGAAAAGAAGTACACGGCTTCCCTGATTGTTAACACCCAATAGTTTTACACTTAAATTGTGCGTTGAAACCATTTCTAAGATTAGGTTTGCCCCTATTGATTTTAGGAGAACCACTAAACTAGTAGTTTTCTTTGAGTCCCTTTTCTGCTACTTATGTTATACAATACAAATTCTGAATTTTAAAATACAGTAAGCGCAGATTTTTTTTTCTTTTTTCTTTCCTCTTTTTATTGTAATAATAACAGGTTCTTGGTAAATTGGGCTTTTAGTATACCGTCAAATGTGCATATTTGCACAATAAGAACATTCCTCGAATGTAAATTTAAATTTTAAACTTATCACTATATTTTGGTTATATTCCAGGTATGTGCGGTTACAATAAACGCGATGCTCCTGCGCAGTGTTGACGTCACAGCGGTCGGCAGCGATCACGAGCGCGATCGTGCGGTCCCGCCGTTGATCGTACGGCCGGAAAACTCAAGTACAGTCGGTGAGTGGGTGAGGCAACTACGTGTGATATTCTTTACTTTATAGCTAATGGTACGTGCATGAACTAGGTAAATAATTTGTACATTTAATTAATGTACTATATTATACATATTGTTTTGATTAGGAACAGAGGAAACATTACAGTTAATGCTTTAAATCTGTTTACGATTCCGAGAAGGGATAAACTTCCTTTGATATTTAGAGCGGATATATGCCGATAAATAATATGATTTGTGAGACTTTTCGAGGAATTACATTTCTTGTTTAAAAAAAAAAAGATAAAAATATTTTCTTTTATGAAATTAGGAGAGATCTAGTTACTAGATTTATGGAGTTTAAAGCCTGTTTACATGAGGTCCTTGAGTGCTTAGAAACTAACAATGGCACACTAGCCATGTCCCGTAATTTCACCAGCGTTTATGGTTACTGTCCCGTGCTTAAGTGTCGTAGCGTGACGTAACATGCTTATAACCTTCCTCACTTAATATTCTATCTAATACAAAAGTTATTTAAAAGTGGCTTATTTTTCCAGAGATTAATGCTTTTAAACCACTTAACAAAAAAACCTCGGCATCTTTTCTTTCTCCATTTCTTCTCTTCATGACACGTGTAAATAAGCTTTAAGCTTTTTTTTTAATAATTTATATTTATTAAATTGAAAACACATACCTATATACATTTAATAAATCTTAAAGTGTCGAATGACTTACCTATCGTCAGACAATTTTCAAGTGTTTAATAAAATGGCAAATGTTTAATTGGTATTGTGAGCTCAGATTATGGCAACTATCTATAAAGATAATAAAAATATATTTATATATGTACATACATTTTATACATACACAATAAATAACATGTAAAATGTATAATATAGCGAATGATCAATAAAAACATAACTCATGTAATCTCAGCCTCACGCGACTCATCGTCTAAAAGTGATATAATTGTAAAACATAATAAAACATTGTATAAAATATATCAATAGTGATAGTTCTTATGTAATAAATACTTAGCGGGTTTTATGGACATGTGACAGATTATGAAAAAAAAAAACAATACGCTTAGCAAGGTCACCTTGTTTGCTTTTTCTGCTTGAACCACATCGAAATACTGTCTGCCTAATATTTTTTTTTATTAAATAGATGTTAAATATTAGTATCCCGATAGAATTCAGTATTGCGACTACTCTGTTATAAATACAATGCTTTTTAGTCCCAATAACATATTTTTTATGTAGAAATAAAAACGCACAGTATCTTTAAATACTAAAACTATAGTCTAATATTTTTTTTTCATGATTAAATAATTACTTAATTTTTCTTCAATATTGGTGCAAATTCTGTTGTTCGAAAACTCGTTAAACTAAACTAAAAATCACTAAAAAAATATTTTGTTCTGTCAAACAGAGAGTTTTCGAACAACAGAATTTCCACCATGATTCCATTTTAATATTTTCTTAAGAAAAATATATATCGTAAGTTACAACTTGTGTTAAATAGTTAATTGTAAGCTATGATATATTCTTATACATCGTTAAAAAATTATAAATTACAATAACATTGAATAAACAGATTAACTAACTGTACTTTAAATTGTAAATTTTACATACATTTATTATTCGTAATTCAATCTTATAATTCCATCGAGCCAGTTAACTTAGTGTTTCTTAAGTTATTTTCAAAATTGGCGTTTAGTAGTAGTTGACACATGATTGAATGATTGAAATGATACCAGATTAATATTTATCCATAACACGTAACCAGTGATTTTAATGTAGCATAATTTAATGGCTTACTTTTACATTACATATGTATTTAATTATTTACTCTATATTTACTCTACACATAACTATAAAACTGACTAGGTAGGTGGTGTATTTACAGATGATTCAAGTGGAAAAAACGCCTTCGGTTGCCTTGGTTCTCTTAAATTTTAATAAAGAAGTTCTATTCCGTTCAGATTCCATTCACAAATGACAATAATAGAGTAAATATTATTTTGTGTAAGGCGGTATAAATAACTCGTCGGTTGCATAAATTTTTAAAGGTTGATTTGATAATCAAATGTGTATATATATGTCACATTGTAATAAACCCGCTCTGTTCAACGTCCCTGTATCTGTAATATATAAACTTGTGAAGCGCTAATTATAATAAATTACGAGTTGTTGAGCTTAATTTTTTATGTAAAATAAATAACAACATAAATAATTTAGTTTTAAGATATTTAGTTATAAGTTTTAGTTTTTATAGTCTAAGGTCATAGATGTTGAAATGTCTATAGAATGTCAGCTTTTGATAGATGTTTAAAAGCTCAGATTTATTTGTGTTATAAATATTTAAAAAAGTTAGTTTAAAAATATATCTAACTGAATTAACTTTAAAAGATTATAACCCATATCTATAAGTAGGGTTGTGCGAAACGCTGTACCTCTTATCATGGTTATTTTAAATATATAATCGTAATGAAAATTATCACTAAACATTACTGTATGTATAGAAAATTTGAGTTTTCTTAACGAGTACCCATTAACAAAACTCAAATTCTCGCTGTTAAGCATTATCCTGATATTTAAAATATGTAGAAACTGAACTTTAAAATCATAAGAAGCAGTCTGCAGCATTTATGAAGAGATTTCATTATCATTTATAACTTAAGTACCTCTTAGTTTTTTTTTGTCTCATATGATCAATACAGCATACATTTACCTTAAATAGTTTGAAACAATACAAAACCTAAGTGTTTAAATAAAATGTCAGTCACTGTTTATGACGTCAATATTACAGAGTTCTGACGTCAAAGAACGTTCGTTGGATGTTTAGATCCATATAGCATAAACAACAGCTTTATATGCACCAACGGACTATATTCACAATAAACTTTTGAACGGACAAAGCTTTTATAAGAATCTACGAAGATAAAAATGGTTTTCTTGAAAATAAATATTTATTTTCAATGTCGATAAATGTGTCTAAGTAAGCTGAATATACTTCGTTAATATTTATTATTTTATAAATGTGTATGTAAATAATACTTCCTGAAACCATTTAAACTTCCTGTTTTTAGTGTTTATCAATGATAAGTGTATGTTAAAAAATGCTGGCTGTTTTATCAAATCTAAATGTTTAAGTGTTAGTAGTGAATATCGCGCGTTGTATAATGAGTGTATCAATAGTAAAATTTTTAAAACATTTCGAGAGGCTGCATACTATACACATCTCATATATTTAAATGTATGAATGTTTTAAAAGTAAAAATATATACGTAATATCAAACTCTGTACATGTATCTCTAACTAGGTATTGATCAGTTCGACTTGCTTTCGGATCTATTACTCTGCATGGCATTAGTTTCAAAATATATCCAATCATCTAAGAGAGGTGTGACGAGTGCCCAACGACAAGGGCCTAGCCCTTAAATTGAGAGAGAGATCTAAGGGAAATGCCGGTGTTATGTTACATGATACATTACCTGTGGGAGATTTTGCCACTTCACACATGCCTAAACCTTTCCTCTTCTCTGGTTCTGTGGGGAAGAATTGAAAGGGCATCAGCTCACTTGAGACTCTTGAGTAGCAGGTGTCCATGGGCGACGGTAGCTATTTACCATTAGGTCCTTATTTGCCCCCTAACCATAAATAAAAATTAGGATCTTCTCTGGCAAGTTGAAAAAATATTTCCCTGACCCAATGTCACGGTCCTTTCTTCCAAAATAAAATAATAGTGGTAGACATTAAATAAATGTGTGCCGCATTTGTAACATGCAGCTTATATTCACGATGACAGTGCCTTGTGGTAGCTAAACTAGTATTACTTCTAGTAGTCTAGCAATTTTTAACCGACTTAAAAAATAAGGAGAAGAAACTCCGTCATTTATGAACCGAATTGGAAATCTTGCCATTTGAATAAAAGAGTACCGCCCCTATAATGAGGAAATCAAGGATTTAAGTACAGTTGATTATGATGTAGAATGAATTTTGTTTAAAGTTAATTATTTATTTAGAATTTCACTCTGTACCACGAAACTCATATGATATCATCAGTACACACTCAATATATGATCTCCCCATAGCGACGAGACTGGCTATATAATACACTATGTTTTAGACTCCATACGATAAATGACCGATTTTCTATTGCAATAACCATTCTGTCTTAAACATGTTCCAATTAAGGACTTTTTTTTAATTTAACGCCAAGCATCTTCTATTATTAGCAGAATTTGCATTATAGTTTAATTGCGTTTTACAGAATATGCAGTAAAATTCATTGAGCTAATTTCATATTACAGGCAGCTATATTTATTGTCATTTTTATTGTCTCATCTTACCATATTTAAGTATAATACGTCAGAGTATACTCAATTAAAGAGTCTTTAAAATTATACCGTAAAATTTCATAACTTGGCCAGATACGCCAAATCCTCAATGTTGGAACATTATTTACATCAAATTCTGTTAATTAAGATCGTATGGAATATCCGAAACATTAAATAGGCAGCTGGTATTTACTAATATAAGCCCCTCAATCGTATGTAACATAATACATACGATATTTGACTGAAAGTCAAATAAGTTCCTCTTTATTGAACGTCAAAATGATTCGTTCTGTAGAAATTTATATGAAATAATGTGTTATAATGGCATACTTAGCTATCATCAAACCTGTTACTATAATATGTGGTTTAATAATAAAAAGAACTTATTTAATTTTGCTTTATGAGCACTGTCAAACAACTTATTTTTACCAGAGAGGCGTGTGACGATCAATATTAACGAACTTTATGCATTTTATGGACTTGTGTGCTTTTTTTTAATACCCCTTTTCTATTCTGGTTGGCAAACACTTCTTCACTTAACGTAGTCACATCGTACCTCACCAATTATATAACTACAAAATTTGGTTTTTACTTAATAATCCCTTTTAATAGTTTACCTACCTATGACTTACCTTTGACTTCGTTGGTTTGCGTAAATGTAGATCGTTCATACATGAACGAGTATCGGTAAGTATTAAATTTATCTTTCACTTTACGTCAATAAAGGG